GCAGATGGATGAAGTCCACTGACGCAATGCCGGAGCCGGCCATCGCTTGTTTGACCGACGCAGGAGGCCCGGCTTGACGCCAGTTTCTAGAACGACTTCACCTCAGCTATCCGGCCGAGACGTGGCTATCTCCCCTGCGGCGCAGTGAGACCCCGGGATCAGCTGTTTCCGTTCTCGGCGGTAGCCGTCGGCGGCGGCCGCTAAAAACATTGACGTCACGAATTCCTGGCGTTTCCCAGGGCAGATAAGATCCCTTCATATCAAGTTCGGCGATGGTTGAGTTTCTGAAAGAACATAATCCCACTTGAGATATGACGCGTCGTCCTGCCGACGGCTATCTCGAGATTGAGCGGAATCGCAGACGCCTTCACGATCAAGCTCGAATGCTCGGGCAATAACACCCAATCAATTTCGATACAGATAAGAAAGCGTCATAAAACAGATTGCTAAGACCCCGTCCAGTGTTCTGAACGAAACCAGAGCGGAGATCATCGACGTCATGACTGCCTGTTACCCAAATTCAGTATGTAACGGCCCAGGGACTCACTTAGCCATGATACAGCCAGCCGGCCGACGCTCCAGTGATGGCTAATCCTTGTTTTAGCGAACGGCGAACGTACCTAATCGTAAACAAAGGCAAATCATCACGCCTTGCCTGCCAGCATATACATGCTCATCGAAACGTGTCAGCTATGCACACATGGCTCGCATCATCGATTGCGATATAAGCAGGTGTGTGTGAACCACTCGGACAACAAAGCTGTGGATCGAGCAACCGCGGTTTTCAAGATCATACAGAGTTAAAGGCCGCTGGCAGAGACGCGCGCGTAACCTACAGGCGTGGACGGGACGGTGACGGTAACGGTAACGGTGACGGGAACGGGAACACGGTGACGGTGACGGTGTGGCGGTGACGGTGACGGTGACGGTGACGGTGACGGTAACGGAGACGGAGACGGAGACGGAGACGGAGACGGAGACGGAGACGGAGACGGAGACGGGGACGGTGACGGTGACGGTAACGGAGACGGAGACGGAGACGGAGACGGGGACGGAGACGGGGACGGGAACGGGAAAGGGGACGGGGACGGAGACAGGAATGGGAACACGGTAACGGTGACAGTGACGGCGACGGTGACGGTGACGGTGACGGTGCGGCGGTGACGGTAGCGGTGTGAAGATGTGACGGTGACGGTGTGACGGTGACAGTGACGATGAGCAGGACGAGCTGGGTCGGACCTGGCAGGACCAGGACCCAGCTCCCACACCAATCCTAGCCACGGAGTGGATCACACAGCTAAGTGCCGCTGTGGCCTCTTTCGTGCGAGTAGTTTCTGCAGCGGCAGTCGCTTCGTCTGCACCGGAGTGCTCTGGGGCTTTCCTGTTGTTTTTATGACAACACAGAGACTCTGAAGCAGGGACGCATGCCCAATTTTGTCAGACCACTGGTTTAGACCGTTAAGTAACGAAATATTCAGAGTTAAATTGACCAGCCCTGCCAAAAAAGGTTTTCCGACAATCATCAATTATCAAATGAACTAAGACTGTCTCCCACAAAGAGCATTTGCTTAGAGATGTTTCTGGACTAAACAATGCTCAATTGCGCAAGCCCCACAACGAAATCTGCAGGTGTTAGTGCTCGCCAGCAAGCAAAGTGCGAATGCCTTAGAATCGTGCCGGATACGGCACACGCTAAGTTGTCCTGACAATTGATGTTCCAAAGTCTACGCTAGCCTTGTTTTCTTTGCACAACGATTGGCGATGTTCTCTCGTATTTGTTGGTGCGTTGGCCGGCAGCCGGCTGACTGCGATCTCATGGGAATGTTGACCAATTACGACATTCATACCTGAAATACTGCTGTTGATACGTTACATGCCGTACGGTGCCGCTGTATTTTCTTCACGTGCACATTTAACACTTCGGCGTGACGTCACTATTACGCTGTTAACGCTTGGCACTTAGCCAAGAAGTCAAAGCAGAGAAGCGCGCAGAGTCCGTCAGATTAGAAGGCAAGCGGAATGACGGCTGCTGCTTGCTTTATATCGTGCTTATGGCACGAGAACGGGACGTTAAGTCGTAGGAATCCATGAGTGCCTTCAAATGCATCTTACACTGCGGGAGAGATGTTGCTTGTTGCGTTTTGATGCCAGGCTTCACAGGCACGAATACCAAGCTGCATAATCACGTGGTATACGTGACCATTCTGGCGACGATGGCGCGTTATGGAATGATGAGAAAACCGTTGATGATTAGTATCTCTATTATTCCATTCACCGCTACCCATGCGATCGTGACCATACGATTGCCTGCCGACATTCGTTCCCTTTGAGCTTGATCAGCGCGTTATCGTTTGTTGTTGACAGCTTCGTACAGCTTCAATTCAAAATTATGGCATAAACTGAGCAAGTGCCATAACTAGCCCACTTGACTCCCGTTTAGGATTTCACAATTAGTGTGATGCAACGCAATACGACGTTTGTAGGAGCATATATACGGCATTTTTAAGCTTGTGGTCAGTAACCGGAACCACACCAGATATTTTCTACGAAGCCATACTCATCCCAGTCCGCTGCACATCTTGTGTGGGTGTCCATCCGTTTACTACGCCCACGAAGGACCTAGAAGACACTAAAGTCAGATTCGTGCTTGATTCACTTCAGATTCGGAGTTCAGTCAAGAATCATGGATATTGATAGGAGTTGAGATTACTATTGCATATTCAGAACTGGTGATAATAAGCATATTTCTAAAGCGTGAAACCTGAGATTCATCAGTGCGTGTTAAAGGACTTGTGGAAATTGAATAGCTAAGCTTTTATGCTTTACTATACAACACAAACTTTGATGTGGTATAAATGTGTGTGAAAACATAGATTACAAATTCATCCCATGAATTTGCAATCCATGATACGCACTTGATGTTTCGTGAGTGATTATATTCTCGTCACACTTGGTCTCGTCTCGTCACACTCATCTCGTCGAAATATTCTCGCCACACACGGAAAAAGGACCACACAATATTGTGTTGAATACACTTAGTGTCGATAATCAACTCATACTCTGCAGCTTGAAAGTAATCACCAATCAGATTGCAGATTGCAATGCAGATTGACGTGAATCAACGGCTGAGGCAGCCCTCTATTTGAAACATAAATTTGATTCGAATTATGATTACATCACAAATTGTTCTGCATGGGAATAGATCCGATTCGTGTGGATGTGAATCGAGCACAAGTCTGGCTACAGTGGTATGGTCTAGAGTAACTTTACTCTCGTGATTACACCCTGTATTTACGCCCCAGTTGCCTGTTCATTGCTGAGACGACTCTGATGTCGGCGCACCTTCCAGTGTGATGTGCTGGCTGCTTTCCTGACGCAGTCTTTGTTGCGGGTATGCTTCGGTTTTTTCTAGCGATTCAGAATTCGTACTTGAGGTGACAAGCGTGCCCTTTTCGTATTTACCTGCCGGCTCACCGCAAGCGAACACGAGATAATTTGAACATTCACGGACTGACAAACGCTGCGTCTAAGCAGCTTTGCCAGCTTCACAGGTCCTGCGGCCCGGTATCATCTGACCCGACCTGAATGCTTGGAAAATACATGACTCGCCTCTTGGAAGCGGAAGCGGTCCTGCTCAAGGCTCAACCTCTGAACCGAGGCTTATCGGTTCGCTGTATTCCGCCTGATCTGGTCTGCCAACTTTGCTATCGGATGTTTTCAAATGTAGGAATTGCGCAATCCACTTTATGTAATACTATTGCGCATTTTTTAAGACCAGCTCTTTTAAAAAGCAGTAGCGAAGATCTCAAAGTTTGTAAATTCTTTTATACGAAGTATTTTCAAGAATGTTTTTGTATAAATTTTGTAAGGAAGCAATCCGTCTCCATTTAAACTGCAGACGGATGTGGTAGGCTTGGCAATACTGCCTGCCACTTTGTGCTTATGTTCCATTTCCATTAAATAAAGCATAAGCACCATGTACGACGGACAGCGAACAGCTTGGCCTTGCCGCACAAGTCAAGCGGGAAAATGGGCTTACTTGCTCATTTTCTGTCAGCCCAGTACAACCACCTCCCGAGAGCACCTACGCCAATGTTGACGATTGGATTCCCAGATCTTCCACAGTTTCCCCATGTAAGTGTTCTGATTCATCAGAAGGCAGGACACAATCGGTTCCGGCGAAAAGACGTCAGCACTATCGGCTCTACAAGCAGCGGGGAGCAGCAACCGTGGGAGCCCAAGTCGACGCAAGAGCCAGAGATAACACATGCCGCATATATATGGTTCCGGTGCGAGCAATTCGGCATCAGTTACTACAAACGGATCCTTCCGAGCTGAGTTAAGGCTGCAGTGTGATCCCAACTCGAGCTTGAAAAGGTGCGGCGAGCGTGATGGACCAGGCTACAGTGGGACGGTAGGTGAAATAATTCAACAACGCAAACTGTCCTTCAAGTATGCATGGCTTTTTTATTGCTGAAACCATTGATGACATAGAACAAAATCTATCATGGCAGCAATGACTATTTTTGGTTTCCTGAAATGGGTTAACAGGCAAACTTTTGGTAGTTTCTTCTAGCACGTTCACGCAGGCGGAACAGATGAATAATGTGCGATGAGAGAGTTCCTTATTTTGAACTAGTGAAATCACCACCTTGGCTCACCTGGAAATAACGATTTGCTATGCAGCGGTAATGCTACTCACTGTCATTGAACTTTTAAGCTTTTTTATGCGCTGTCATCTGTGTAATAGACCCTACCCCGAACGCGATAATATGCATTGGATGCAACCCCACAAAGGTTAATATGATACGCTCATCCAAGAATGTTCATCCAAGGCGTGACGAAAGGTAACAAACGTACACTTATAAAAGAGAACTGCGCCACCATTTCCGTGGGTCCAATCCTTCATCACACATTCGGTTAAAGGATATGAACCTTAGCCAACTGCAGCGGCCCCTTTGTGATAAATAAGGCATCAACTCCTGACCAGTTTCAGGACCATGTGCCGAGTCGGTTTGCTGGTGGTGCTGGTCTTCTCGGCGGCATCCGCACACCCCTCTCCGCTGCGAGCGCCCGTGTCCGAGTGTCCGCCGGATACCCCGGACGGTGCGCGTGTCTTCATCGCCAGCAACGAGAGTTGCACCGACTTCTACATGTGCTCCCACGGCGTGCCGTACAAGCTCACCTGCCCGGGGGACCTGTACTTCAACGTCGTCACCGGCCAGTGCGACTACAGACAAAACGTCAACTGCACGGTGCCGTCAGCACCGACGCGGTCGCCGGACTCGACGACCTCGAAGCCCGCTCCCACTGGGCTTCAGCGGCTTGTGCTCGCTGAGCTCGAGCTGGAGGAGCTCCAGCGGTGTCCGGAGACGGACGGCCCGTACCCGGTCATGTTCCCCAACCCTGACGACTGCTCCTCCTACTTCATGTGTTCGCATGGCGCCGAGAAGCTGAGGCCGTGTCCGCCAGGGCTTTTCTTCAACAACGACACCTGGACGTGCGACTTCTCGTGGAGGGTGAACTGTGCGCAGCCGACCGAGTCGCCTGACAACAGTACGGCCCTGAAGGATGCTCCCGCGCTCCAGACTCTCCAGCTTGTTTCTGACGTTCCCAGCGGATGTCCCGAAGAAGACGGGGTGTTCCCGGTCTTTCTTCCCAATCCCGACAACTGCGGTTCATTTTACATCTGCAGTCACGGCATTCCCTACCTGGAAATATGTCCTCAGGGTCTTCTGTTCAATAACGACACATGGAGCTGTGACTTTCCCGCCAATGTGGATTGCAATCAAACCAGTAATGCGGTGGTTCCAGAGCCGCTGACACTTGATATGGAGGTCGCCGACGTCAGTGGATGTCCGGATGTTGACGGAACGTATCCTGTCTTCCTCCCCAATCCTGCCAACTGTTCGACATTTTACTTGTGTAGTCATGGGGTTCCTTACCTGCAAACTTGCCCACCGGGACTTCTGTTCAGCAATGACACGTGGAGCTGCAATTTTCCGCAGTTTGTAGACTGCGCTCAAGCGAACGATATCCTAGCTCTAGAGCAAATTGATGATGTTTCAGAACCCAACGGCCAATGTCCCGAAGTTGATGGAAAGTATCCTGTCCTGCTACCCAACCCCGCCAATTGCTCAACTTTCTATATGTGCAGTCATGGCGTTCCGTACCTCAAAGCCTGTCCTGAACACTTGCTGTTCAATAACAGCACATGGACCTGTGATTACTCCGACAATGTGACTTGCGTGTAGTTCGATGACCTATGTGTGACCTCTCGATGGCGACGAGCTTTGCTTGCCTCTTGCTTTACTGTTCCGATGCTTTAAACTTGGTAACGGCTTGACATACCGGGGTCGTAGCGTGTGTCTGAATGATGAGCACGAGCTTGCGTTGACGAATATTGTCGCAGTCTGCCTACGTGATATTGTACAGTGTTTTTCCGCATTTGATAGTTGTGGATCGTGGTGTTTTAGTGCAGATGCAGGGATGAAGCCAGGGGAGGAGAAGCCTTTTTGGGAGGAGAAGGAGGGGGCGGGGGGGAGGAGGAGCTAAGTGAAAAATAGTCAGGCTGATTTTAGCTTACGCTCAGGAGCTGTTTGATGTGATAAAAGGAAAGGGGTCTTCCCGGTCCCTGCGTCGATGGCATGCCATGTTGCTGGTGCTACGTGACATATTTTGACTTCGTGTATTGAAAATGCTGTGTCAATACACATATCGCAATCGTAACTCGGATTTCATTGATTGGCTTACCTGCTTCAAAAAGAAAGCAACTGTCGCGGTCGTCAAGTGGGCCGAACCACACGCCAAGTGCCCGTGACCAAACCTGCATTAGCTAACCGGCCTCACCCTCCCCCAATCCCTCCATCGCCGTCCTCTGTGCCCCGGGTCATCACATGGCACATGGAGACCAGGGGTCAGCAGTGGCGGACGCAGCCAGCCGGAAAGGAGGGTCCGACGTTAGCCCCTCCTGCGCAACAGTGTTAGTATCGCCCTTACGAAGACGTAACCATTCGGCACAATAAGCACACAACGTAACGCATTACACAATAGAACGCATAACACAATGTAACGCAACGCACTGCCTCATAGAGAATACACGCTACGCCCCCTCCCCCTCCCTCCTCGAAGCATCTGTAAGGTGGCGGTTACCTTTTGCTCATGCATATATATATATATATATATATATATATATATATATATATATATATATATATATATATATATATATATATATATATATATATACCTAGCCATACATACATACATACATACATGCATGCATACATGTGTACATACATACACACATGCATACATACATACATACATACATACACACATACATACATACACACATACATACATACATACATACATACATACATACGTATATGCAAACATACATACATACATACGTCAGCCGGCTCGAAATCAAGCCAGAAGACGCCAGGGATCGCACAGGTTCGGCAAGCCGCCGCGGAGAGGGAGAAAACGAAAAAACAGGACAATTACCGTCGATGATCGTGCGAGAGCATTCACCGCGAAACGGTTGGGCAACATTAGAACACGAATTTCCAGTTGACGACGGTACTTCAGTTCCCTTCTTTGTCCACGCGGGGCTGGCGACTGGCGGAGCTGAGGAGTGAGAAAAGAATCTTATTTGTCGCCAAACATTTGGAAGTGTCGAAATCGTCCC